GGGGGGGGGGGGGGGGGGGGGGGGGGGGGGGGGGGGGGGGGGGGGGGGGGGGGGGGGGGGGGGGGGGGGGGGGGGGGGGGGGGGGGGGGGGGGAGGGGGGGAGGGCGAAATCATTCGTCATGGAAGCACGCATTTTCGGCAACCACATGGCACTGTATTCTCGACGAAACAGGCACGACAGAGTCAGCAGGGCGGGAAAAGAGTGACCACGGCCAAGTACGCAAGCGTAGGGTGGCGAATATGCAGGGATAGAGCTAAGGCTTGAGAGGTAGGGTTTTAGTAGGGTTGTAAAGCATGGCGATCGGTTACAGTCGCTTGTCGGCCGCATGTTAGTATAAGCAGTGTTAAGACCGGCGAGCAGCACCTGCTATCAACACCATAAATAATCAGATACTGACATATCAGTAGCCCTTTGACGAACGGGAGGTCTGATGGAGAACCCACAAACAACACCGCGTGCGGTTGGAGTGGCGGTAAAACTATAGCAGTAGCGCTATGTTGCTACGGCAGTGGCGCATGTTTTCGGACACTAAGCTCACACCTGAAGAAAGTTGCTCAGCTCGCGGCATCCTTTTCCCACGCCTATCACCAGCACCCCCGTGGCCATGGGGTCCAGGGTACCGCCGTGCCCAACCTTTACCTTCACACAGCAGCAGTAGCCGAGAAGCGATCATGTGCAACCACAACCAACGGAAGGGAGAGAGCACATGTTGCGCACAGGGTCTCCCGACAAAGTAGCGGCACGTGCTACGTACTTTCCGAGGGGTGGTTTGCTAAGTATCCTTCGTACTAGTGTCTTGGGGCTTGTCTTCTCTGCACTTACTGCAGTATGAGATAGGACGTGATGGGCCTTCTGCAGGACACAACAGCGGTAAAAAAACTCCGATTGGACGTGGTATTTCTAGAAGAACGGTCGGTGCTCACGCCATCATCACCGTAGATTTACCGAGAAAAAAAAAAAACGCCGAATGTTGGTCCGCGATGAATACAACGCCTAGCCTGCTCGATCGGGGGTTCGATGGCTATCGGGCTGGGCCAGCTCTATCTACTTGCAGTGAAGGCGACAGAACGTTTTGCTATCGCTCCCCGATTTTCGACCACCTCTTCCCGACGAAGGGAATATACAGTCCAAATGATAAGTTTTCGGAAAGCTCTCGACGAGACGGTTCCAACCGTCATCGTCGCTCTTGCTGCTGTGGAGAATGCGAGCTTTGAAAACCGGCCCAGGGGGGGAGTGATATCTTGCTCAATCACCTTGGGCCCTGGTTGCCGCCGGCGAGGCCTCTTCCTGCTCTTCTTCTTCGGGGACTCGGAGCCCTCTCCCTCCCCCTCCTTTGACGACCCTTCTACTGGTTTTCCGGCTGCCGCCGACGCTTCCGTCTTCTCTTCTCCTTCGCCTCCCTCCTCTGAAACCACGACATCCCTCTCCAAGGCTAGTCGCGCCTGGATTTCCTCTCGAACTCCTCTAGTCAAGACGTTCTTTTTTCCTCGGGCATTGGGGGGTGCGCGGGGAGGCATTTTTTGTGACGTTGGGTAGTAGCCCAAACTCATGTTCTGCGAACAATATAGACCAAACAAACCGCAAGAAACAGATGAATTGATTGCACCATCACGGAGTAGACACGCGCGATTGCCTGCCGTGCCTCTCGGCCAGCTATGTTCCAGTACATGCTGCTGTACTGGTGTGGTCTCTCACCTTGATCTTCTGGACTACGTCAGCCGAGGAAAAGCCCTTCGGCTTGTAGACGGCGAAGATGCCATGGAGGTGCTCTGGCGGTGGGTACCCTCCCGCGGGATGTGCTCCCGCCGGCTGTTGCTGCTGCCCAGCCGCTAGCACTGTGTTGGGCATGGTCCGCCGCGCTGTCGACCGGGTGCGAACGGTGACCAATTGCGCCGCGTTTGTGGGTGCAGCAGCCTTCTGCCTGCCGAAGGCCGCTGGCCGGTGGTGTTGGGGCAGCAGCCTGGGCTGCTGGGTTGCACCCCACATCGGCATCAACATTCTTGCTGTGTTGCATCGACAGCTTGCGGTGGTCGTCGTTGTCATTGCAGCAGCACTCAGTGTTGAGGCCTTTGGTGCATGCGGCCCCACCGCTCGTCTCTGTGTTGAGCTAGCGATCACGTGCGGCGAAGAAAAAACTGGCGGGTGGACAAAGCTGGCGACGCGGCCCGTGACCAGGGCGAAGACTAAGGCTGCCGGTCTTGCCGGTGTCATCTGCACCACTGGCAAGTATGTGAAACCTGGCACCTGCTGCCTGGACCTCTGATATGGATCTGAGGGGGTCAAACGATCGTACTTTTCTGAAAATTCCAACATACCCTTCGACAACTTGGAACCGGTGCCCGGCCGTGGAGACCCCTAGAGGGGCGCACAGCCTGACCAGCGACAGCCGACAGCTCGTGCCACCGCCAGTGCACAGCAGCTGCAGTACTCAGCAGCAGTTCACTGGAGTAAGGTAAAAATCGACCCAAAGATTTTCAGTTGTGTAGGTGCGAGAGCTGCAGGGGGGGCTCCACGAGCGTTCGCTAAACTCTTCGCAACCGAACGCCTGTTTGACTGAGCGGACACGATGGGAAATGCTGCGTCTGGCCTACCCTTCGTCGTGGGCGAGGAGGTCGACTCCTACCCGGAGAGCCCGGAGACATGCTCGTGGCGCATGCACAGCGGGACCAAGCGGGTGAGTCAGCCAGTCCGTCGTCGTGTGGTGCGTTGCGCTTCTTCCTCCCGGGGATAGCTACTACATCGGTGCGGGGTAACCAACCGCAAGGGCGCGGATTGTTCGTTCTGTTCTTTCAGCCCGGGAAGGCCACGGAGGCTGGCTTGTTGTGCACAAACAGAACGGCCTGAACTCGCTGCTGCTGCTGCTGCTGCGGTTTTTCGGCATGGGCATCATGTCCTTGTGTTGGCGCGTGGTTCCGTCGCTCGATGTTGACGAGATTGGGGTACGGGTCGGAAGATACAGACTATTGCGGACTCAAGGTGCATAGCTATTTGTTCCACTCGGATTCATTCATGGGAACATGGGGGGCAGGCTACCTAGGCACCCACACCACAATAGCTGGCCGAACCTAACCCGTCTGTGCATTACATGTCCATCAAACTACCGTACTTAATCGGCCCACTCGTAAGATACGAGGGCTAACTTCTGCTAGGCTGAGACGTTGGAAAGCAAAAAAAATGACCAGCCTCATCGCCAAAGTTCAACTCTGAACCCTGCAAGTACGATGGGCTACAGCTAACTCTCGTACGGAAGAAGGCCTGGCGGAGCCTGATTGGCTGGAATGTCTACCGCGAGTGTACGAATGATTGCACCGCTAGATAAGACCACCTGTGCTATTTATCCCCATGGACCCGAAAAGAAAGTAAAAAAGAACGACCAGAATTGAGAACGGATTCCTCAGCCTCCACAATGTTCCGGAACCCGCTTCGGTTGTTGTTGGCTCAGCCCAATCAGTCCAAAGGGCTCACTCTGGGTCGTCGCCAATAATGCTACTGGCTTAGGCCGCGGCTTGCCACGAAGCTGCGGCGTAATCAATACTTCTTTACAACATTGCTGTCGTAATACAGCAGCGGTTACGCCGTGCTTACCAACGCCTGCTTGCAGTTTTTGTACGCCCTGACTTTGCAACTCGAAACTTGAAATCTGCGCGTTGCAAAGGGCACCTATTAGTCGGCACAATTTGCTGTCTCTTAAACGCGAGTTGTAGCGGCGGTGGAAATACCGCGCAGATCAACCAAGTCGGCTACCTCCAACCATTTTGTCCCTCGTGTAGCCTCTGGCCAGACTATGAACCACGGATTTGCTATCCCTTGCGTTGTGCATAGAATCGTCACTGCAGGCAGAGCTGCTCCAACAGAGCCGTACAAATATGAATAGGGGGGGCACCGTCCATGAATTAGGGGGCAGGCACCATGCTGTCGTCCTCGTCGACATGAACAAACAATGAACCCCCTTTTACCTAGGCGTGCAGTGTATACGAAAGAAAGGCTGATGCATTCGTTGTGCCCCTCCAACTCCTCATCCTTAGGCCGGCGGGGGCAGCGTGTCGATATTCCGGCTGGACCTGAAGACGTGCCCGCCCATAGCGAGGGTGTCGGGTCAAGAAGGCATGAAGAGCCTCCGGACGCTGAGGCACCCACACGTGCTCGCCTGCCTCGACTCGGTGCAGCTGGAGACGGAGTACGTGATCGCCACGGGTGAGAGGGGCGGCGGACCCTCGTCCAATTGGGTGGGGATTGGAAGTATCACTCTCGTTCTTTTTCTAGCCCTAGAGACGCAAGACCGTTGGTTTATGTCACACAAGACAGCTCTTAATTTTGACCTCGACGAGGCATTCGTGTGTCATTGGCCGAGGTTACGCCGCATTTCTACACGTTACGCGTGAACCGACACATCCCCAGTGGCGGCAAGCCAAGCGAGTTAGCAAACGAGCTAGCCACATGACGGGCGAACGGGGTAGGGGAGACAGACCCTCCTCGTTACATCTTGTGTGTTGGGGTGATTCTTGTGATGGTTGGGGAGCGGCGGGGGAATCGATTGCGGTTCGGGGTGCCGTAGCCGGCCTGTATCATTACAGCAACAGCAAGTGCAATTGCTTTTCTGTTCGCGTGTCTGTGGGCGGTGTACTTCATGTCTGCGGCGCTCATCACACGGGGTAGTCAGCCTGTACCGTTGCAGCAGCAGCAGCAGCAGCAGCAGCAAGTGTCTTTGTTTGTTTATGAGTCTACCGGCGGCGTGTTAATTTCTGCGGCGCACGGCACACAGGTTTGCGCCAAAAAGCTTGCCCCTTTCTTTGACGCACTTTGACGTGCGCCGGTGCTGCCCTAGGCGCGTGTGACGACGTTCTGGAGCGGCTTCGGAGACACGGCTGCCCATGGGATGAAACGACATGCGCATCGGCCGCGTTTCTCCGCCACGTGCGGCCGATGCGCATACCGTTTCATCCCATGGGCAGCCGTGTCTCCGAAGCCGCTCCAGAACGTCGTCACACGCGCCTAGGGCAGCACCGGCGCACGCCCGCCTACTGTACACAACAACTGACGTGGATCAGCTGTAGAGATGGAACCTGTTTTGCTTTTTCGCCTTCCTCCGCACTCGCAGTTCTATTCTTCGGCTGCGTGTGTCTTTCCTCCTACAACCCCCCCACCCACCCCTGTCCGTCTTCGTCTGGACTGCTGTGCCCCTTTTGGTTTCAGAGGAAGTTATCCCGCTCATGCGCTGGGTTCGCGAATGCTGCGAGCCGGGCAAGAAGGACGAGCAGGTGCGCAACGAACGATGTCGATGTCGCTTCTTTCCTACAAGAGCGCTTGTTAAGGATAGATAGATGAATGTAGGTGTCGCGGTATCCGACGGCAAGGAGCAAGCGCCCGTGTGTGGAGGATACGGCGAGACCACGTCACATAGGAAATCGCAATTTCGGCGCGATGTGAAGCACAACGAAATCCTGCTGTCGACCTGCCTCAAGAAGTGGCATGTTCTAGAGGGAGGTTGCAGATATATTTGACGCTGTCGTTCACGTTTATTTCTTGGAGGATGTCGTCCATCCGCTCCACGCCGACGCAAGGGGATAAAAACGGTTTCGCTTTTTTTTCTTCACCTGCGAACCTGCTTCGCTTTGTTGTCTGAAATATTTTCGCTCCAAAGGTGGCTTGGGGGATGCACTGCCTTTGCAGCGCCCTCAAATTCCTACACGAGGACTGCAAGTTCTACCACAATAACATCAGCACCGACACTGTCTTCGTCACGAGGTGATTGATTTGATCGATCGAGCGTGCCCTGGCTTGGTCCATGACACTACTCTCCCCTTGCTGTCGTTGTTCTTGCTTGAGAACGCTAGACAAGAGTGCATCTTTTCCCCATCTTACTTTTCTCTATATGCATATAATCCGTCAATATGTTCACGTCAGTCCTTCTTCTCATATGGTATGCGATCAAACATCAGTGGCATCACCTCTCACGGAATGTAGCAGCCACTTGTCCCTTCCTCCGTGCTGGTAACTGTCTGTCTGTCCCTTGACATGGTTACTCAGCACCCCCGTATCTTCTTCCTCTGTCTGCGGTGCCCGCGGCCGTGCCTTCCCCAACACCACGTCGAAGTACAACGCAACGCTGACAAGTCTTGGTCGTGCCACAGGCCAGAAGTCGCGACACATGCCTCTTTTTCCCTGTCCCTGTATCAAGACGTTCATGGATGGAGCCGTTTCTGTTCACAGCAAATAGTACCCTGCGCAAGGATATTGTGCTTGGTTTTTGTAGGGGGTGTCGGGTGGGGTTAGGGATAGGGGATGCGAGACCCCCCTCTGTATTTCATGCCACTCTGTCCGGAAATGTGGGGACCATTGGGACAATCACATTTGTATCTGAATAGTCCTTATAATTCCGAAACAGAAGGGTTGCAGGTCAACAATACAGATTCCGAATGGAGTTGTAGGTTGATAATGCAATCGTTCGCGAAGGCGGCACCACGCTAACGTCCATCTCGGTGATTGAACTCCTTTGTCGGTCACTTGACTGAACTAATCCTTTGTGCAGCGGCGGTGACTGGAAACTTGGGGGGATGGATCTTTTGTCCCCGCTTGGAGGGAAGGACTACTCCATCGCCGAGAGGCGGGGGCTGCAGCCTCGACACTTTCAGTCTGCGGAGAGGAACAATGACGACTGGTGGCGGTATTCGGTGAGGATGGGAAAGAAGGGTTCGGGTTAAGTTAAGTCGCTCGCCTGCAGTGAGTGAAGTTGGGTGGGTTCTCTCTTCTCCGTTCCTCTCTTTCTCTCCGTTTCTGTATCTGTATCTGTCTTTTTTTTGTTTTGTCTGCCTCTCTCTATCTCTCTCCCTCTCTCAATATGGTGTAAGTTGTGTCCACCTCTCCGCTTGTCGATACCGATAACGCACGTGCAAGCTGAAAGGTTCTTGAGCGCTAGCGCGAATACACAATTTTTCTTTTCCATGCCTCCTGCCGTTCCCCGTCCCATTTTTTCTAATTTCTGGTTCATAATATTGCAGCCGACGTTGGATGGAGGAGGGGTCCACATGCCCATCCACTGCATGGATGTCTATGCCCTCGGCCGCCTGCTGGAGCGAGTTTATCCCGAGGGGACCCCGTCAGGGTTAGACAGGTGATGAGGGAGGATAAAAGCGTGATATTATTAGTACAGCAGCTGGCACTGGACACCACCACGACACCGCATGAACCGTTTTTTCAGCCTCGATAAATCTGGAGTAAAAACAAGTTGGCGTCGAGCCCTTCCCGAGCACGATTCTATCAGGCACCCTCTTCGTCGTGTGGCGCAATCGAAAGAGGGAGTGTTATCTTACGTCATGCATCACGAAAACGCTTCTTTGAGTTCCTGTCTGCAGTCTGGACTATAGCAGGAACGCGTATGCGAGGTCTAGTAGACACGGGTGTCAGTAATGCGATCTGAAGTAGTGAGGACCGATAGTTACCGCGCCGGGACTGCGCTCTCCGTAAATGTACCGCAGACAAGCCCATGTCGTGCTCGAAACATACTTCGCTACATTACACTCTCGGGGGCACGTCACAGTCATTACTTGTCCAACCCGTCGCAACGCAAAAAATTGCATGAATGTCGCACAGGTACGTTGGCAAGATGCTGCTTCCAGAGCCGACGAAGAGACCAACGGCATCCCAATACCTTCGGTGCGCCTTTCTCAGGAAGCAGACCGTCAAGGATCTCACGGCGTTAGAGGTGATGTGAACGACACACACACAAGCGCCGAAGGCGAAGGAAAGCTAAACAATGTTTGCGGGTGGTGCACGGGTCCGAAATCAAGTTTAATACAAACGAGGGTTATCTCGTCCGCGCTGGTGTAGTGGTTCTTGAGGCGTGTTTGAGGGACACGTGCATCCCCCGTTGGGTTTGCTGCGGGTGGTGAAGGAGTCCACAAGAATCTAGCACAAGCGATATCCCTCCTTTGTCCGCACTGTCGTAGTGGTTTTCGAGGCGTGTGCACGCGCATAAGCAGCAGGAGCGCGTCGACTAGGCGATGACGTCAGAGTACTACTAGAGAGTTGTACCGGAGTAGCGTTAACTAACCCTGCCGCTCTGTTTGATGCTTGCTCATGGTCGTGTATTAGTCCTTGATTTGTATTGGCTGGCTCGGGCGTGCTTCTGTTGAAAAAAAGTTTTTGTCGTTTAGGACAGATGTCTATCACATTTTGTTTTTTGCTTGTGTCCTCGTACAACAGATATTCTGTGACGCTTCCTCGCTTTTGTTCCCCTTTTTCTTTATTTGCCGAGCAGCTTTTCTCGGTCAAGAGTCCGGAGGAGAAGGCGGAGCTTCTGCAGAGATTCACGGTCGAGTCACACTCGAAGCAGGTGGACGTATTGTGGTTGTTGTCATCGTTAGTAGTGGCGTTGGTGGTGCTGCTGTTGTCGTTCTTGTTGCTGTCGCGGTTGTTGTTGTTGTTGTTGTTGTCGTTGTCATTGTCTTTGTTGTTGTCGCTGTCGTTGTCGTTATCGCTGTCGTTTGTTGTGTTGGCGTTGAGAACCGCTACGAGCACACACACACTCGGCCACCCCGAGCTCATGGCACATACTTACGGCCCCCCAGTCCATGGCCTTTAAAAAGATTATTCCGTTATTATTTAGCCGACTGATATAAGTCCGCCCGTTCGCGCAGTCGGTGCCATGTACAGAAACATTTTCAAGCACACACACGCAAACACGGTCCTCAAGGAACTACTTGAAGCATTATGTAGACCATGATCACCCCCCCCCCTCTGTTTCTGGTGGAAAGGCGTTGATCCACAAGGTGGTGCCGCTTCTTCTAAGGGAGCTGGGGACAGCATCGAACACAGCACCAGGCGCGCTGGCACAAGGGGCTGCAAGGGCGACGGTCAACTTGTGCTTCCCGAAGCTCCTAGAGGCAAGGGAAACGTGGTCGGGGTGTTGATGATGTTGGTTGTCGGGGTTGTTGTTGTTGTAGTAGCTGTTGCTGTTGCTGTTGCTGTTGCTGGTGGTGGTGATGGTGATGGTGATGAGGTGTTGTCGCTGTCGTTGTTACCGGGTCGAAGGTTACGCGTGGTGACGACATTCTCTATCTCTTCCACAGACACAACCGGCATCACCAGGAGAGCAATTTCCCCTTCCTTTTACCAAAACCCATTTGCCCCGCTTTGCTTCAACGCCCCTCCACGTATGAAAAGATTTCGAAGGAGATGCCCGACGAAGACTTCCGCTCGACCATCCAGCCAACCATCGCCCGTCTCTTCGCCGTAAACGATCGAGGAGTACGGGTCATGCTCCTCACCAGCATACCGTCCTACGGGAAACGGCTAGAGGATGCCGTAGTCAACGACCAGGTGGGGCCTTGACTCGGCTCGCTTGGGGGATATGTCGGTGTTTTGTGTCCCCCTGGGACACAATGGGTGCGAATCTAGACTTCCTTCGCAAGCCAGTTACCGTAGTTGACACAAGATAACACATCCCCTGGACCGATTTGCAAAGCTCGATTTTTCCACAGCAGAAGCGGTGGCGGTGCTGAGAAATGACGGCGTCGGACCCGCCTCGTCGAGAGCTTTCCGAAAACGTATCGTTTGACTCGTGCAACCTCTTCCTAGTGGAGTAGTGGAGCTGTGAAATTTGACCCAGGGGGTGTGATATCCTGCGTCACCCACGGTAGAGCTGTAGTCCCCTCCCCCATAGACTCGTGTGTGCAGGCCGGGTTAGTGGGTACGGCCACCACGTTGCCCCGGTTCCAATTGCGGGTCTGTTCGTTCGTGTTCACGTCACGTAACAGCAGATGCCTATCTTTTTGGAAACAGCCTACCGGCTTTGGTTCTGCATTTTCGTCCCTCCGTTGCAGGGTTGGCGGATACGGGGACACCCTTTGCACTATGTCCGTTTTCAGGTCTCTTTGCCGAAGGTTGCGTAAGGTTTTGAAAGCTTCGTTACTCCGCGACGAGGAGGGTGCTGAAGTCAAGGGATGCGTTGCCGGAAAGCTCTCCGCGAGACGGTCCAAACGCCGCCGTTTTCGGCACCGTTGCTGCTTCCCCTGTCCAGTAGTGGAGCTTTGGGAATCGGGCCAGTGCGTGTAATATCTAACGCAACCTACGGTGCTCGTCTTAACGTTGCCTACTTTGGCGGAGACCCGGCGCGCCCCTTTGTGCTCCGTCCTCAATGGTCTAACCGCTAAGGCATGCAAAACACGAGTACCCCCCTCCCTTTCCCCCCCCCCCTTCGATGTTTGCCATCGGGGATGGGTTTTCGTCGCTTGGCAACGACGTTGTAAAACAAGCCGCCCCCCCCGGTGTAACGACGACGGCATGCACGACTATGAGTACACCCCCCCCCCCCCGCCCCCCGTATGGGAGGCGAAGTGGGCAAACAAAAAGAGGGGTAGACAACCCACGGAATGGGTCAAGGTTGTAGAGGACGTATGGAAGGGGTTCGACATCGACGANGTGAACTCGGCAACCAGGTTACCGTTTTTTTTTTTTTTTACCTCTTCTTTTTTTTTTTGGCGGTACCCATGAATGATTGAGTAAATTATGCTGTGCGGGGTCGAGTACCCTCACTCCGCGCAAAGGGGATAATCGCACGTTTTGTTTAATTGGTCAAGCACCCTCGAGGCAGTTACACAGCGCTCACAACTGTCTCTGGAAGTGAAAGCACCAGAAAATAAATTTGAGTCATACGCAGCTGTCATCCGTACGCAAGGAAGTAAGCACAAGATGCCGAAAACCCTTAGCAGGATGCAGCGCACCCTTCATGCGACTCGCCGAATACCTCACGGCGCTTCGCGCTTGGTGATGTGAGAGCCTGGTCCGGTGAGAACCCGGCGTGCTCCGTCCCGGCTTTGTNCGCCGGCCTGCCCTCCCGCTCATGGGACGATCTGCCGCTATTATCTGTGCCAACTCCCTCCCAACGATAAGGTGTTCGAACCGCTGTGTGCGGGTTTTACGGACGCGGCCGCTCCGCTTCGTGAGCTGACGCTGAAGAGCATGGTGGCGTTCACGCAGCAGCTGTCGGAGAAGAATATGAACGACAAGCTCATCAAGCACCTGGCAAGGCTGCAGGTGAGAATGACGCATGCATGCCGCTGCTGTTGTTGTTACTGCTGTTGCTGTTTGTTGTTGATGAGGTAGTTGTTTTTGTTGCTGCTGTTGCTGTTGCTGCTGCTGTTGTTGCTGTTGTCGCTGCCGCTACTCTTGCTGCCGCTGCTCCTGCTACCGCTGCTCCTGCTACCGCTGCTCCTGCTGCTACTGTTCCGTCGAAGAATCACCTCACCGCGTCGCCCCCCCGGCCCCCCTCCCCTCAAACGATACACTATCGACCCCCCTCGCCCCCTGCTTGCATTCGTTTTCAGGGAGACGCAGATTGTACGTATCCACGTGAACCTCACGGCATTGCCCCCCCTACCCCTCCCCAAACGGTAGTAATTCCCCCGCCTTGCTTTTTCAGGGTGACGCGGAAGACTCCATCCGTACAAACGCGATTATTTTCCTGGGTAAGGTGGCGGCGCAGCTGAGCCCGGCCGTAAGGGACAAGGTGCTGCTGCCGGCGTTTGCCAGGGGGGTGAAGGATCCGTTCGTGGCGACGAGGCTGGCAGGGCTCAGGGCTACGGCGGCTTGCCACCAGCACTTTCGGGCGGAGGAGGTGGGTGCGGCAACGGGTGTCCCCGCTTTCTCTCTCTCTCTCTCTCTCTCTCTCTCTCTCTCTCTCT